TTTTGTTATTCTTATTTTATAAGACCATTAGTTCTACTTCTAAATTTCTTCCATTTTTATAATCTTTCTCTATATTAACAATAATCTTAGTAATTCTGTTGGTCTTTCTTGTTGTGTTATTTCTTTTATGACAATTATTTCTTCTTCAGTACACTCATAAATCTCAATTTTAAAATAAAATCCTTTGCAGTATGATTGACAGACTAGAGTCAGACAAGAAATGCTTGACAAATGAATTAATAAATGAATAGCACTAGTTAACATTTATTTTACACTTTTGTCCTTAGCACATATATTTTTACTACATTTTTTATTTTATAACTTTTGTTTCTCTTTAATCTTGTTACAATGAATATTTAGTCGAGCATGATTTAATATTGTTAAAGTGATTCTAACTTAAATGATTTTTCTTGTTCATTATTTCTAGACAATAAATATATAGCTTTATACAGTTTAATTAAATTTCTTGAATTGCTTTGATAAAATAATTAGAATTGTAATAAATAGGTTAGTAACTCAAATTTATCACATTGTTACTGCTATAACATATTTTGAAAGGAAACTAATTAAATATATTGAGTAAAATAATTATTTCACTTTTTACTAATTATTTTGTATACATTGTGTTTTAAACTTGAAATTCTTTATTAAATAAACAAAAACACAGCAACGTATATTTAGCAGATATTCACACAATGTTCAATTGAGTTGGTGCTAAAAAGCATATTCTTTTTAACTAAGTATAAGTTTGAGTATTTATACTAGCTAGACATTTGTAGCAGCTTTTGCAGCTCTCTTAAAAATTAAAATATTTAAAAATACTATGTACATAAGTTGTAGGATGAGGAGAACATAGACACAAAGTATAAACCTGTTACTAAGGCAACATCACATGGATAATGGACACATGAAATAATAACACTGTATCCAAGCACTGACAAAGCACTAAATTGTCTATTTTGTAGTCGTATTTGAAATGGGAACCCTGGTCCTTTTTTTTTTTGGTCTTTTTTTGATTCAGGGTCTCTCTGTAGCACCAGCTGTCCTGGAAATCGTTATGTAGAACAGGCTGGCCTTGAACTCACAGAGATCCACCTGCCTCTGCCTCCCGAGTACTGGGATTAAAGGCATGCGCCACCATGCCCAGCCCTTTTGTATTTTTATTTCATTTATTTGTGATTTATTTTAACATATGTGTGTGTGGGGGGGTGGTCTTTCTATGTGTATACCAAAGATGTGTGGGTGTCCTGGGAGACCAGAAGAGTATCCTGGATTCCCTGGAGTTGGAGTTACAGGTGGTTTTGAGCCACCAGACATGGGCCCTGGGGATTGAATTTAGGTGCTCTGGAAGAACAGCAAGTACTTTTAACTGCTGAGCCATCTCTCCTAATACAGTCTATATGCTTACAATCAAAGTAGATCCTTAAAATAAACATTCTTTTACTGTATGAATATCTTGAATTTTAAAATGTATTAAAAGTCATTGAAAATAAAATGGATACCTTGTTTCTAATTAAAAGGTTTTCTTGCTTAAAAAATCATGTGCAGTATTGCCTATAAAATTTCTATCTCCGGGCTGGAGAGATGACTCAGCGGTTAAGAACATTGTTCTTGCAAAAGACCCAGGTTCGATTCCCAGCACCCACAGCTAACAACTCTCTGTAACTCCAGTTCCCAAGGATCCAAAACCTCTTCTGTCCTCCGCCGGCATTGCAAGACACGGGTGCACTTACCTACATGCGGGTATAACACTCGTACACATAAAATAAAAATAATAAATAAAAACTTCTATATCATTTTAATATTTTCTTGATTAATTTATGAGAAAGAAAAGATATCTCATAGTAATTTTCCAAATTTGTATAAACCCCTTTAGATCATTGTTCAGATTTCTATCAAGTAACCTATATATAGCAAGTGGTTTACCTAATTTTATTTAAAAACTTCAAAGAATGTCATTTGGCATTTTGAAGAACAAGATCCTAATCAAAAGAGAAATAGCGGTCTGAAAGAGTATGAGACTATTGAAATCAAATTTAATGAGATGGCTCATTAAAAAGTTGAGTTTACTTGAAGCTGTACATATAAGAGTTGAAATAAATTAATCTTTCTAGAAGTTTTAGGCAAAATTAAAGTGCTAAAAGTGACGTGTATGAACTTGGTAGTGCACATCTTTAATCCCAGCACTTGGGAGGCAGAAGCAGGATGATCTCTATGAGATGAATGGGCTGACTAGACTCCAGTGGATGTATTTACACTGAACGACAGTTGGGTACAAACACCTGAATGAATACGATTCTGCATGTACGGCAGAGTGTATAGGGTCTGGTGAAGGACTAGGGGGAGATTTGGATGGGGGAGGGGGGGTCTGTATTTGAGTGGGAAATGTATGAAATTTAAAAAGCTCAATAAAAAAGGAAATAAAAAAAAAGCCAAAAACAAACAAACAGAAGATTAGCCTATTCTATATAGCAAGTTCCAGGCCAACTGGGGCTTCAGGGAGTCCCTGTATTAAAACAAAACTAAACAAACAAAACAAAACAAAACAAAACAAAACAAAACAAAAAAAAGAACAAAACAAAATACTCTGGACATTCACCCGCTGGCTCTTAAAACCTTTCTGCTTCTTCTTCTGCAATGATCCCTGAGCACTTGGAAGGCATAGGTGTGAAATAGCAGTCTTATTCAGGCATAAGCACTGTGAGGCCCCTTTATCTCTCTGCACATTGGCTAATTGTGGTTCTCTGAGCTAGTCATTTACTTATATGAACTCACAACAATGGTGACACCATACACTAATGAGTCCTGTGCAAGCTCAAATTAGACAAATCTCAGCATAGACATGAAGTGGGTCAGAAAATCCAACTCAACCTGAGGAACTTTTGGCAAATGATGGCTGCTGGGAGGAGGAAGGGCAATGCCTTACTGGAATGGAACTTTCTGTGGCCAGTGGATGTATCTACACTGAAGGATATTGACACAGATCATATTATAAGTACATAATAGAGTTCATTAAACTGGGTAAGGGGCAGTGGGGGAAGATACAGACAGGGAGAGGAAGGGATCTAAATGCCATCAAACTATATTGTATAAAATTGTGGAAATTCAAGGAAAAATAATGTATATATGAATATGAGACCCATTCTATGCACACACATATGATGTTTGTGTAATGTTTTCTTTCCTGAAGCTAATACAGACAATAAGTGCAGTTGACAAAGATGACCCTTTAGGAGGACAGAAATTTTTCTTCAGTTTAGCTGCTGTCAATCCTAACTTCACAGTACAGGACAATGAAGGTAATTTTTACAATTTGCTCTTTGACATCTCAGATGACATAAATGGTAATTCCTCATAAAGTAGCTATTTCAAAATATGTGGTATATTAATTTATTGACATAAGCATCAAAATCTTGTTCATATCTGATATTTAAAAATGCATTATGGAAATGTTTGAGGTTTACTCTCTTGAATTTCAAATAATAAAATATATTAGAAGTTTCTATAGGTATTAAGGGAAAGATAAAATGTTGAAATGATTAAAAAGACTGGAAAAATTAGTGCCTACTGAAAGCATGATAGGATATGAAGGATTATAGAAATGAAAGACTCAGTGGGTTATTATGCTGTGATGTATTGAATCTAGGTAGGCATAAAAAGAAGAGAGGGAGAGGAGAGCCCCAGCAGCCTCTGAAGGCATTCAGTGCATTCCTTCTGGCAGTGCCAAGTATTCTGTTGTCCTTTATAAAAGAGAAATTTTGTGTCTCTGAAATTATTTCCTTTATTCTCATAAGAGGCACCAAAAACATTTTAGAGGAAAATTGCAAAAATTACTGATATTTTAAAAAACTGAACACCCTTTTATTGGCAAATATATATCACTGGAACTAATAACATGTACATATATACTATATAATACATATGTGTGTCTATGTTATTAGAACTTCTATAGTTAATATATTTAATGGTAAACAAATATCCTTAGCTCATGTTGGTAAAAAATATATTTGCTTTGACATGGCTTTAGACATGTGTATTTTAAAGTAAATCTAATAACTGCATTTAGATACACACACATACACTCACACACACACACTACTTTCTTCACATTGCTTGACAGATGTTAGTAAGGCTGTATCACTTAGAGGTGGTTTTCAGAATAGCAGAAAATGACTTAAGGCACTGAATCCTTTTACATTGTGCCAACTATTTGCCAAGAGATTTAATCTAGCAGCACGTTTGCATAGAAGAGGTAAAGGGAAGGTATTAATTAGGGACATGTGTTTTTAATAAATCTGAATATTTGAAGTGTCCTTTTTATATCACCCTAGACACATAAAGATACTGGTATTTGAAAAAATGTAACAAAGTAACAGAATGCGCAGTTAAATCTGAACTTCACATGAGCAATATTCAGTTTTATTTCAATTTGCTGAACCCGGCAACCTAATCATGATTTTTAAACTGTAGCGGTATGAATTGAATACACACTTCTGAACTGACGATACCTATCTCTGGGTTTATTTAATATGGTTTCAGTTGAAATAGTGCTGTCACAGCATAGTGTTTCAAAGGTACCAGAGAAACCACTCAAGACTCACATTAATTAATTTATTTCATATGTTATCATTTTATTATACTAGAAGGAATTCTTGATTTTATATAAATAACTCAAAGCAAAGTAAACTTAAAATTAAACTTGAATATATCACTGAATAACAATATCATTAAAATTTGGTGGAAATTTTGATCTAATTCTATATAAATTTACACTTCTGTTTAGGATGAAAATTTAAGAGAATGATCATTTTATTGATATCATCATAAGATTATACCTTTATGGAAAATTTCTTTATGTTTATAGGTTCATCTTAAACATCTTAAATTGTATGATGTCAATCTTTTTTAAAAATTAATTTATTACTTCTGTCATAAGTCAAGATACAGATCATGATTTTCTAAACTGGTTGATATAAAGTTTAAAGTATAATAGCTAGTTAGTAAGAAAATTTCATTTGGATCCTAAATATACCAAAAGTAATATAAAATTGTGATTCAAACGTTAAAAATTTAATACACTTATATAAGAAGATTCTAACAATGTCCATATGTAGACAAATATTTACCTTAGATATTAATGCTGGAAAGTTTTCAAATTTGTCCATATGCTTTGATTTTGTTCTCCTACTTTCCTGACTTAGTTAACTGATATAATTAGCATCTCTCTAATAATGTGGAAGACACTTGTTTTGTACTGAACCACTTAACCAAGAAGTAACTGTTACTCTCCTTTTTATGTCCTGTTTGTTTGACTTAACAGGACTAACTTATATTTCCATTCTGGCCTTTAAGATACCCCTGTGGGTTCGACAATAAAGACTGCATTCATTGGGCAAACAAGATAGAAACTTTTGAACTTGGTATTTTTAAATATTGGTGACTTGATACTAGAAGAAATCTACGACCTCCTTACCCCAGAATTCTCATTTAAGTTTAAGTGGACACAGTTATCAGATTATAGAAAAACTCAGTAGCAGTGCAGTAGGTAGTTGGATGGCAAACTATCTGAAAATTCTACTTATGTTTGGAATACTATTAGGCACCCACGATACTGTCTCAAGTTACCTATCAATACTTTGCTTGTAGCTTATGTTATGCATGTGTTTTAATGAGTAGAATAAATGTTTGGGAACATTCAATAATTTATTTACCATTGACTACATAGTAGAATTCTTGTTGGGTTTTGTTGACTTTGTTGATTTCTGTGCTTATACTCTACTGGATCATACTTTTTTGAAGAATATTGGATCGAGGTATATTCTAGTATGTAAAAGCACACACTTAGATATGTGTGAATTTAGGCAGACAAGAATTTTTCACTGATTTACAAAATTTATTTCATCAGATCTTTAGAGTACACTATTTATCATCTGTAGAGACCATACGTTTCCTTCTTATAATTTTACCATTTTGAAACATTATTTGATAATTATTTGAAAACCTAAGAAGCAATACAGTCTGGGTGTGATGCTGCATTACTCTTTTCTCAGCTTTCAGGAGGTTGAGCAGGATGATTGTAATAAGTCAAGGCCAGCCTCGGCTACATAATGAATATCAGACTATCCAGAGCTACATAGCAAGTCTCTGTCTCAAACATAAATAAATAAGTAAATAATAAATAGCAAAATAGTACTAGATTTTTTGAATAGCCTACATATTTTACCTAGGTATAATTACATTGTACACATTGAGTAAGAAAATTAGTAGCAATTTTATAGTTTACATAGATTTTGGGTTTTTTAATATTTTATTAATTATTTTTATTTTATGTGTATGAGTGTATTGCCTGCATGTAGGTAAGTGCAACCATGTCGCGCAATGCTGACAAAGGACAAAAGAGGCTGTAGGATCCCCTGGAACTGGAGTTACAGACAGTTGTTAGCTGCCATGTGGGTGCTGGGATTCGAACACAGGTCTTCCGCAAGAAAAACCAGTGTTCTTAACTGCTGAGCCATCTCTCCAGCCCCATAGATTTTTATTTATGTATGAAACCATGGTTACTAGCAGTGAGACGAAGTTACTGTCTCAAATATTTGAAATAATTTGTTATTTATTTTAGATAATACTGCCAGAATTTTAACCAGAAAAAATGGCTTCAATAGACATGAAATCAGTACCTATCTTTTACCTGTGGTGATATCCGACAATGACTATCCAATTCAGAGCAGCACTGGCACCCTGACCATCCGTGTGTGCGCCTGTGACGGCCAAGGAAACATGCAGTCGTGCAGTGCAGAAGCTCTGCTCCTCCCTGCCGGCCTCAGCACCGGCGCCTTGATCGCTATTCTCCTCTGCATAATCATTCTTCTGGGTAAGAAGGGCGAGGGGTGGTGTTTAAGATGCCTACTTCATTATATTATTGAATAGGAAAGGTTGCTATCAAGATACACGCCTCCCAAACTAATGCTACAGTTTTGATCTGTGCAAATTAACAGAGGAATGCTGCTCACATTAAAATATTTTATCTGATGGGGATATATAAAGATGTGTAAAGAAATCTTTACAGTTATAGACATAGTGGGACTTGGAGTAAAGAACTAGATTCAAATGCAAATGAAAATACACACCAAATACACACCTTTATTTATTACAATAAAGATAAAAAGATAAAAAAAGTGGGGTTAGCACAGACCAGCTTTTGTATGAACTTGGAAAGATAAGCAATTTCAGGTTTGCTAGACATGGTGAATTTTGTGATGCAATTAATTCCTGAAGTCTATGTCTACTGAACAAATGAAAAAAGAAACATTTATGGGCAGGACCCCATTATCTCATGCCTGGCCCACAACTGGTGTCCTGTGTGGTGTAGTAACACATTTGATGGCATTATTTTGGGATCATCTGCCAAACATGTATTCGGGTGTAGAGTGGGAGCTAGAAGATTTTGCAGAACATAACAAAACCAGAACCAAAACTCTGAAAGATATAAATTAATAGAATTCAATAAGATTAATCAAAGACAAGGCTTAAGTTGATAATTTTGCTAGAAAGGAAAAAAACAAAACTTATCAGTCCAGAGAGATCAGAGCAATGGCTCAATAGATTAAATAGAATCTTGCCAAGCCTGAGGACCTGAGCTGATTCTCTAGGATCTACATGGTGAAAGGAGAAAACTGACTCCCACAGGTTGTCTCTGACTCCACACTGGCATGTGCTAACAACCCCCTACACTTTAAATAAATAAATTATAAAACACCTTGACAGTTAAATAATTTAGATTTTGTTCCATATTGTAAAGTAATTCTTATATAAGAATAAATTTAGCAATGTTTTATGATTATTAAAGATATCAAGTTCTATATGAATTTGGAATCTGAGTTATTATATTTTATCGACTTTTTTAAAAATGTGACTTTTAGTTACATGTCTACAGAAGATCCAATTTTCTACTGTCAACATATAAAATGCACATCCTAATTATGGGTTTAAGTAATAGAAAATTAAATTACTCATAAAACAAACTATTAAGTGAATGACCACTTCTATTTAGAAAATAAGAATGTTAACTTTTAAAATGGGTGCATAACTTTTCATTATATAACAAATAATAAACTCAGTTTCATTTAACAGAATATGTGAAAATTGATAAAAAGTTTATTTATTTAATACTACTTATCACTGGCCATGGTGGCACATACTACCATCCCAGTTTCTTGGAAGATTTAGGGAGAAAGACCTCAAGCAGCTGCCTAGTGTAGAAAATGTCTACATTTCTACAGTAGTCTAGAACAACCCATTTCAAACAACAGCAATAATGACAATTTGACTTATCATTTATAAAATAAATGAAAGGAAGCTCATAAATATGACTTCGAGTAATTGAATCAGAAAATAAAAATATGAAGACTATATTGGGGTATTTGTATCATACATTATATAGCAGTATTTCTGATGAAATATGTATTCAAAACAAAAATCTCCAGTAAGAAATGTTAGTAGTTAAATTTTTGTAAAAAATCTTACAGTTTTCCAAACACTGTAGTGAGAACTTTACCTTACCACAAGAGTTTTAGGGTTTTTTTGCCATTTATTAATATTTTTTTATGTTTTGAGAAAACTATGATGTGGAAATTTTATCTTCACACATAATGAAAATGAAAGTTAAAAGTATTGCCACATGTCCCAAGGCCTGACAGTTTCTGAGTGGCTGAATCAAAGCGCCTTGCTGTTTGTCACTGTAAGCATTGTTTTCTAGTGGAATTTAGAGAGCATTCCCATTTTTTTTTCTCATATGGCTGAGTGGAAGGCTCACTGTTTTATATCTTCACTGAAATATGATCAAATAGCCCTTTACCTGATACACACACACACACACACACACACACACACACACACACATATGTATATAGTATATATATAATAGCAAAATAGTGGTGTATATATATATATGCAAAAATTTTATCCTATTGATTCGAGAATTTTATACTATATATTTGATCATATTCAGACCCCTTCTCCTTTCTCCCCCTTCTTACTACCCTCCCTGAACATCATGTCCTCTATTAGTTGTCCTTTTTTAAGGCTTATCAATATGATTGATTCCTACTTGCTTTAAATACTCTAAATATAGATATTTAAGAAAGTAAGATTTTCCCCTACATTTTTCCATTTGATTGAATTTATATGTTTCTCCAAATCATTTTAAAGGTTCAGTACCATAATATTTGGGAATAGTAGATGAGTGTAGAAAATTATTACAACCAGTGGTATTTGTTGTTGACTTTCTCTTATAGCTTTTGTTATTATCATTATTATATTTGTTAAAACTACTTTTAGAAATGTATCTTCTCAGAAATACACATTTCTGCTTAAGCATCTATATTTAAGATGAGTCGCCCCCTTCACGTATGTATTTTGGAGATAAATCAATGTGACTTGAACTTATTCTTTGCTTTGATCTTGCCTGATCTAACAATTTTATGGGGTGTTCTCTTGCAAGGTATGTATTTTCAGGGAAAATATCATATAGTTCTCTAAATTCATTTAATGTCTAAGTAACTCGGTTATGTTTTTCCCCAATGATGAGGGTCTTTTAAGAAAGGAAACATATGGCTATGTAAATCTGTCAGCAAAGCTAGGGATTTAAAAGTAACAGTCCCAATCTTGTGAAGAATATTGCTTTTAAATATTGTATAAGGATATGAAAGGATATGCTTTAAACATTCTCTTAGTTGAAACAACCCAGTTTGCCTACTGTTATGAAAGCTCTTTACTACAGGATATTGAACCCAGGGCCTTGAGCATTCTAAACCAACCGTTCTTCCACTGAGGTACTGAAAGATGTCCTTTTATATAAAATCACTGTTTAATGCAAAAGATCATTATTTTCTGTATGGTCAGGTGGGAAAGAAATTTAAACAGTCCTGGAAAAATAGATAGACTAGCTATTGCAATTAAGAACACTCTACCTTGCTTTATAAATAAATTAGTAACACCACTTCACCCTGGCTAAAAACCTTCTCTTCTTGTAAAAGAAAATCCAAAATTAACCTCAAGTTTTGACCTGCCAGGCAAAATTTAAACAACGAATACTCCGTAGTATTTCCACTCTTTACTGGGAGTGTTTTGAATGAACTTCTAATGTATCTTCTTGTCTTTGTTGAAGTGATAGTAGTCCTGTTTGCCGCTCTGAAAAGACAGCGGAAAAAGGAGCCTCTGATCTTATCCAAAGAAGATATCAGAGACAACATCGTGAGCTATAACGACGAAGGTGGCGGAGAGGAGGACACCCAGGCCTTTGATATCGGCACCCTGAGGAATCCTGCAGCTATTGAGGAAAAAAAGCTTCGACGAGATATAATTCCGGAAACTTTATTTATACCACGGAGGACTCCTACTGCCCCGGATAACACAGATGTCCGGGATTTCATTAACGAGAGGCTCAAAGAACATGACCTGGACCCCACCGCGCCTCCCTACGACTCACTTGCAACCTATGCCTATGAAGGAAACGACTCCATTGCCGAATCTCTGAGTTCATTAGAATCAGGTACTACTGAAGGAGACCAAAACTACGATTACCTCCGGGAATGGGGCCCTCGGTTTAATAAGCTAGCAGAAATGTATGGGGGTGGGGAAAGCGACAAAGATGCTTAGCTTCGCATCCTACGTTCTGTTCAACAAAAGGAAGTAACTGCGGACACTGTCTCCACTTCACAATATTTGATATTCAGGAGAATTTTCCTGCCACTCAGCACAATTTTCCCATTTATATCTTAATTTGTTCATTAATTACATTAATTCTTTCCTGTAGAATGTCTCATGGAATATATACGACATTTTATTTAATCACTTCCAAGAGCCAAAGCTATGGAAATTCAATATTATACATCTTAGTAAATAAAAGATAATTTCAGAAACATGAACAGGATAGCTCTCCCTTTAGTAACCTCACAAGCCGCTTCTGTTAGATACACCTCCCACCCTTGCAAATGAAGCTTTTAAAAAGGTGAAGAAAACATTTAAGGTATATCCTGTTCTGTACATTAAATTTTAAAAAATGTACATGTGGTGTTAGTAGGTGATATGCAGCCTGGTATACAAGCGTTTGTGCAATTTCATTTCATCAATTTCTCTGTT